GCTGCGAAAGCGTTGGTGAGGAGGCATCCGTGCAGGTGTTGAAAGAGCCTGCAGGGTGCCTGGGTCCTCGCCAACGCTGCCTTTGCTGGTCGGAGCCTTTTTGAAACCAGCAGCTCAGCCTTTTTTGCCTCTCCCAGCTCTGATTTTTGCAGCCCTGGGAGGTGGGGATGAGCAGGCAGGACTGGAGGAGTGAGCAAGGCTGGGGACGGCAGGCCCAGGAGATGTGCAGGAGAGCTGGAAACCCACCTCCTGCGTCCGCCCCCCAAACCTGGTTTCAGCCCCCTGCACCCCAGCGTGGTGGCTCCAGACCACGGGGCGAGGACGTCACCAAGAACGGGTGCCGTGTCCAACACATGCTCCGCGGTTTGGGAAAGCAGAAGGGAAGGTTTGGGCGGGGGGGATCACGGCATGGGGATGGCCTCGCTGCGTGACTTCTCTGCAACTTCCCAAAGAGTTTTGCTCCAGGGCTGGGGATCACTTCCCTGCTCAAAATCTGCAGCTCGTTTTTACACAAACTGTTGGCTTTGTCCTCTCCAAAGGGAAAATAAAAAGGTTCCCAAGCAAAACGAAGGCTGACCGGACGCAGCAGCTTTCCTGGGCTGCGAGGGCTTGCCGGCTCCGTGCCAGCGCTGGGGCTGGAGCGAGGGCCGGCTCCGGGGCACAGACTCCCTTCCTGCCCCGACGCTTCGTGCGCTCCCTCTCTAGGAAACGCCGGGGCATCGCTGCGTTTCCGAAGGGAGCTGTGCGCAGCGGGGGAGGAAAGGAGGTTTTTATCTCCCCGCAGCCAATGCCCCCGGAGGCGTTTGCTCCCTTTGTCCGCAGGCGATGCTGCGACCGTCCTGCCGCCCTGCCAGCCATAGCAAGGCACGGAGGCAAAGGGCAAGGCCGTTCCTCCCGCTGCCTTATCCACCCCTTATCAACCAGCATCCTTCCCCAGAGCGGGGAAGCGCAAGGACCTGCGCTGCCAGCCAAGTCTCCCGTCCCTCCTTGCTGCACCAAGAGCCACCCCAGCCGTGCCCAGTCTGGAGCTGGGGTGCTGGCACGGCCGAGCAGGGTAGAGGAGCCCATATGGAGCAGGGTGAGGAATGAGGCGTCACACGAGCCTGCAGGCCACGAGAACAAGAAATCTGCTGATCAGCAAGCCGGGCTGCTTGCCAATGCCCAGCGAGGCCAAGGAAAAACCAGAGCTCTCCTCTCCCAGGGCCTGGCTGGGAAGGGAATGCCTCTGTGGCCCGCACAAGCCTGGCTGCTTGGCCAAGTCACAGGGCTTGGCTGGACACGGCAACTTCCCAGGGCTCTGAGAAGGAGCATAAAGCCAGGATCAGGCTCAAGCTAGTTACACTGAAAACGCTGAGCTTTTCGTTTATTTTAGTGGAGGGATTCCCAAGGACCTAGCAAACTTCTTGTATGGAACCAGCTATTTATTTTCAAGCTTCCTCTAGGTTCCTCACCTGCTGGCCAGGCTTACCAAAGGAGAAGAAGAAAAAGCCCATGGTTTCCCTCAGGTCAGCTCTCAGGAGAGATTCCCACCCGATTTTCTGCCCGAGGACATCCAGTAACATCGTTTGGACATTCACTCACATCAAGCTCTCTGGAGCCTTGCTTGCCATAGGAGCAGCGCTCGCCCTACTCACGTGGAGGTGGCTGGGCCTGCGCAGCCTTCAGGAGGGCATCGGCTCCACTGTCTTCCCAGCGGCTGGAGAGCAGGATCAGGCAAAAGCCCACCAGTGCTAACAGGGTCTCTGTTAGTGCCAACAGGCGAGACCCCAGTCTCTGGAAGACAGACAGTTTGCATGGGCTATGGAGGGGGAGGCCACATGTTAACGTGGGATCGGATGGAGTCCCCCTACCAGGAAGGAAAGGGGGAGTGCCTGCTCCCCTGGAGAAATGATGCTCGAAGGAGCACAGGTTGAAGTTCCCTGCCCTGGTCCACCCCTGACCTGCTGCCATTTGCTGCAGGACAGCTCTGGGTGGCTTTTTCGAACCTGCCCCAGCTCAGCTCACAGTTACATGGAGAAGTGAACCATGCTGTGAACCATGGAGCCAATCTCTTTGCAACTGGGACAAAGCCCAAAGCAGACCCAAACTCCACATTTTGGGTCTGTTCCCCTAGATAACCTGGCTATGCCTCTCAGCATCCCCTTGAGGCAGGAGCTGCTTTTCCCTGGCCTGTGAAGGAGAGCGCAAGGGGCATCCGTGGCATGTCATGGAGGTACTGAGGAGATGAGGAGGGTGCTCTTCCTCACCTGTGTTGACTGGGATCAGCAGCTGCAAGGAGCGCTAGGCAAGTGAATAATTACATTACCCCTTCATTATCGCCATGGGAAAAGGATTTTATTTCATTTGTCAGCTCACGGAAGAAAAAGGCACCGTGTCACCCATAAGCAGCAGGACACCCATCATGGATCACAGGTGGGTCTTTCCAGGACCACCCTGCCATGAACCACGTCTCTCGCGAGCCAGAGCCCGGAAGCCCCTGCCAGTGCTCTGAAGGTGCTAACACCAGGTTCACCCTCACCATTACATACTCGCCCATCTTAGCCCTCTCCCTGCCTCCCTTGCCCTAGGCTGGGGAGGCAGCAGGACCTGGCAGGGCGGCTCTTGCTTGCATTGCATTTCGGTGTCTCATGCCCTTACACCCCGCGGAGCTGGCACAGGGGGGTCAGGATACTGCCCAGAAAGGCTTTCCCTCAGGTAAAAAACAAACCGTCAAAAGAAATGTGTTTTAATGATTTCACTTTTTAAAGCTTGTGAAAATAATAATAATAATAATAAAACAGATTTCCAGTCATGTGAAGGGCTTGGAAACCCTTCCACAATTTTAAAAACAGAACAGAAGGCGCAAACCCCTGTTAAGCTGGCCAGATTCCCAGGTGACTCAATATACATTAAATCGCCCAGCAGCTTTGGCTCTTGACTACACCAGCACCACTGCAGGCCAGAGGCAGCCCCAGGAAGGGGAAAGCTCTGGCTAGCAGAGACAGCACCTTGCTTTGGGGTGACTTCTGCAGACGGGGGCTGGTTCCGTGCCATTTCCAGAAAGCACCTGTCCATGGAGGTCTTGGTCGTGGCTGCTCTGAAAGTACAATAACCGTAACGTAGTGATGTTGCAATCACTGAGAGTAGGCGCTCTGTTTGGACCAAGCACCCTGTTATGGCCTCAGGAGCGTCCCAACCGCCAGCAGACGACTAGAGGGATTTGGCAGCTCTGACAGTGAAGCACCCCCGAATCACAGCTGTTTTCTTACCTCGAGGAGGTGGTATGGGGTTTACAGCATCACTAGAGATCCCCCGCCCAGAAATGCAGAAGGGCATGGTTTAGACTACAGAGCTCTCTACTGCTAAATGTGATCTACAGCATACCGGCCCGGCTTGCCAAATAACAACCCTTCCTTTATTCCAGCTAAAATTTATCATTGGCTTCCAGGAGGAAACGGAAAACAACAAAAATGATGAAGATTAAAGAAAAGTGAAGTATAAAAATATTTAAAATAGTCACTCTCATTCCATTCATTTCAATATTAAGCAATGACTTTTTGGTGGTTTCTATTTTTGGTCTCGAGGAGCTGCAGGCTGGAGGACCAGCTGATGGGCCCCGCGGCCCCTTGTGTCGCAGAGGAGGCCATCTCACATGCTTTCTCGAGAGGGAAGCAGAGCTTGGGAGGCTGAGGCAGATGGCATCCCTCCAGCCCTGCTCAGATCAAGATCTGCAACAAGAAGAAAGCCGAGCATTTGAGTAGTGCGGTACAGAGGCACTCTCAGGATGATTTTTGTATTAGTTAAGAGCAGCAAGCTATTCTCATGGCAGAGGTTTTCTGTTGAAAATTTGCATTGAAAACAGCTTTGCTCTATTTCCCCACAAGAACCAGAAACCAGAGGAAATTAAGCATAAACACCCAGCATTAAGAAACAGAACAAAACACCTGCCCCCCCTCCCCCTGCCCCACAAGCATTTGCCAAATCCAAACCAAAACTTGGTTTTGAGGTTTGCACAGAAGGCCTAGACAAGGGGGGGGGAGAAAAACAATTAAACTTCTTGGGTCAAAAACACTATTTTATGCTGCCAAGGAGGTGCTGTGAGAACAGTATGATGTTTTTGTTGTGACCGTACTGGGAGAGCCTGTACTGGGCAGCCAGCATCCATGGGGAGCTGCACCCATCAAAATGATCCTCCAGCAAGCAGAGCCACTCACACCAGCTACCAGAAGTGAGGTAATCCCTTTATACCAGAAGTGAAATCCCTTTAGGGACGGCAGCCCTAGGGACTTTGGCCACCTCCCTGCAAGTCCTGGCCTCCTACAGTTTAGTTAGATCCGTACTGTCCTGCCTAGCAGCAGTACTTCAACCTGTTCTCCGACCCCAAGGCCAGCAGGTTCTGTCTGCCCATCTGATTCCCTGAATTTTGGCAGGAATCCTCTGTTTTCCCCGCGGTGGTGAGAACACCTCAGGCTCAGCTTTGGGACCAGTGCATGCACACACTGCTGCAGCAGTCCTGCCCTGATGGGGACCGGGAGCATTACTGCAAATCAGGGCGGCCAGACCTCGCTCTGCTGATGCCCTGGGGGCCATATGGCCACCCTGACCCCTCCCCCTCCCCCAAGCCATATGGTCACCGTGATCCCCCAAGCCGTAGGGTCAACCGCTGGCC